GAAGCTGATTTACCAAACAACCAAACTGAAATTACTTTTCCATATTTTTAGGCAAATGCAAAGATGCACAAATATTAGCACAGAAAAAAGATTTAGCTATTGTATACACTTTTGTATGTATTGTAAGCGTCTTCTGTGACTGGTCCTTTCACTCTCTTTATGCCTTTTGAAATACATAGTATTAAGGTAGTTAAGTTTATCGATTTTTCTTTCACGCTAGCTCTTTTCTGTGCTTTAAGAAATTTTTTTCTACCCAAACTTGTGGACATATTCTCCTGTTATTTTCTAGAAGTATTTTTGTTTACCTTACATCTATATGTTACTTGGGATTGACTTTGGAGTATTGTATGAGTTAGGAGACAAATTTCATTGTTTTTCATACATATATTTAGTTGACTTAGTGTTATATAATAACCATCTTTTCTGTACATCTGTGTAATAACAGCTGGGTATAAATCAAGTGCCTAGGTATACATGAACTATAGTCTTGTACAAATACCAGACTGCCTTAATTGATGTACAAAATTACAATCAACTTGAACCAATCTTTTTTTTTCTGTTCTTGAAGAGTGTCTTGGCTATTTTTATCTTTCTGAAATTTTATGTAGATTTTACATTCAGCTACAAATGCACACACACACACTCAGAAACTGGGATTTCTATCGACAGTTCACTGACCAAATCTATAGATCAATTTGAGGAGAAGTTTTATCTCTGCTATATTGAATCTTTTGATAAATGAACATGATATATATTTACATTTATTTAAATTTCTTTTATTTTACTCAAAACAGTTTCATGTTTTATAATTTATATGTAATACTAGTCTTTCACATCTTTAGGTTTATTCCTAGGTATTTGATTTTTTTTAATGCAATTGCAAATGATTTTTAATTCCATGTTTTAAGTATTTGGTGCTTCTGTATACAAATATTTTTTAACACTGACTCTAGCATAAAAAACTGGTAATCATTATTCTCTTGAATTTTCTATGTACATATTCATATTATCTTCAATTTTAAATTTCATTTTATTCCAATTCTTCAATTTTTTTCTGTTGTTGTTTTCTTTGTTATACTACACTGTTTAGCACCTCTAACTTACTACTGAAGAGAAGTGATAACAACTTATAGCCTTCAAGACAGTCAAAAAAATTTTATTAGTGTGATATTTGCTGTAGGTCTTATAAAAGTACTCCTTATAAAAATAAGAAAATTGATTTTTAAATTTCTATTTGCTGTATTATTTCTAGTTTTATTAATATGTATGTTGAATTTTATATATGTCTTTCTGTGTCTACCAAAATGTTCATGTGATTTTTCTTCCTCATATTGCTAATATAGCGAATTACAATGATAGAATTTTTAATGCAAAACAAACCTTACTTTCATATAATAAAACCCATCTGTTTGTGTGCAGTTTTCAGTTTGCTGACTTATTTGTCTTTTGCATTTCCTATTATGTAAAAGATTGGCCTGTAATTTTCCTTTCTTGGAATGAACTTGTCAGGTTTTCTTATCCAAATTATGCTTTCTATATAAAATGGACAGAGTAATGTCTTGCATTTCTAATCACAAAGAGTAGGTGTAAATTTAGTTATTCCTCCAAATATTTGATATCTTTTGCCAGTAGGGTCTTTGATCTTGACTTTTCTGGTGCATAAATTTTAATTCTGGATGCAAAGCCTTTAATAGTTATAAGGTCATGCAAATGTTCTATTTTGTTTGGTAAAATTTTTTCTAGGAATTTGTCCATATCATCTCAATTTTCTAACTTATTGGCATAAAATTGCACTTGAGAGACTCTTGTTATCCTTCTGTGTTTCTAACGTCTATAACAATGTTCCCTTTTTCTTTTTGTTCTTGTATTTTTTGGTGCCCTCACTTGTTTTCACAATCAGTCCTAATAGCTATTTATAAGTTTCTTTCAAAGGACCCAACATCTATTGGATGAAACTTCTTTATTGTATTTTATGTCTATTTCATTAAATTTATTATTTCCTTCTTTTTATTTCCTTTAGGCTTAAATTGTTTTTTGTTTGTTTTCTTTTGTCTGGATTTTTACTTCTTAAACTGATAAGTAGCTCATTGATTGTCTGTTGTTGTTTTTTAAAAAATATACATTGCAGACTATCAGTTTCTCTCTCAACACAAATTTAGTTGTATTCCAAACTAGTAGGATAGTATTTTTATTCTCAACCAGTTCAATGTTGTTCATTTCTCTTGTCATTTTTTCTTGACCTATAGCTTAGTTTAATTGTATTTATTATTTTCCAAACATATGACTGTTTTTTTAATTTTTTTAGTCATAGCCCCACTTGACAAGGCCTGGATCTCAGTTTTCTTAACCTCCTAATCTCTGAAGGCTGTTTTGAAAGCATTCCTTAGCTTCTCAGTCTTTCAACTTTTTCTTTTTCAATTGGCATCCCCCCCCCCGCCGCCCCAGGAAAAGTAGTCCCAAATACTATGTAGGCTACCTTTCTGGGTTATCTTCTTGTCCAGGATTTTGATTCTTTAATTATTATAACCTCTTTAGTCCTGCAAATGCTGTATGTGTTTGATTTTTTAGCTGTAGAATCAAGATTCCTGTTAGTTGTAATATTTGACTTCTAAATGTACACATGAAATAAAATATTATTTGTTGAGAAACTCAACAAATATTCTTTCATATTGGTGATAACTACTTTCGTCAAGGGTAAAGACTTTATGGGAATGAGCCTCCAATTAGCCCTTTTGATCGTGAATTTATTGTTCTCCTTTTATTATATATATATTTCTTTCAGTCTTTAGCTATCATCTTATTCCCATTTTATTATTATATTTCCAATTAGTTGTTTTGTCCAGAAAAATCCCAACTGGATTTAAAAGTAAATATTTTCTTTTGCTTTCATCCTTTAAAAGCTGAGCAAATATTTCTTTTCCTTTGGAGAAGTATCTAAAATACATTATTATAAAATGCATTATAACTACATTTGAAAACTGTATTCCAAATATCAGAGGTTAGCCTGTTCTAAGTACATTACATCAGGAAAAGTGCTCAGAATATAACCAAAGGGTGCGCTTTCACTACAATTAAAATTTCTAGTATTGCATAGTGAGAACTAGTAGGTGGAATAAAAATATGTGTGATGTTACATGAGTTAAATCCCATTAAATCACATATGCATTGATGGACCTAAATAAATGTAATATTGTATCTCTTAGATTTATTTCCTCTACAAGTGTAAGTTCTTGTAGAAGGCCTATGAATATTTTATGTGTAGCATGTATTAGTCTGATAGTGTTGCCATAACAAAATACCATAGGTTCAGTGGCTTAACAACAGAAATTTATTTTCTCACTGTTTTGGAGGCTGGAAGTCCAACATAAAGATATCTGCAGGGTTGATTTCTCCTGAGACTTCTCTTCTCAGCATGCAGGTAGCTGCTTTCTGGTTGTGTCCTCACGTGGCCTTAACCTGTGTGCCTATAAGCCCTTAGTGTCTCTTCCCATTCTTATAAGACACGGTTATACTGGATTAAGGCCTTACTCTTTTTACCTCATTTTGTCTTAATTATTTCTTTAAAGGCCCTGTCTCCAAGTACAGTCACTTTGGGGGTTAGGTTTTCAACAGATGAATTTGGGGAGGGACACAATTCAGTGCATTATACGGCATATATTCATTCAACACACACTTACTGCCTTAAGGAACAGAGGCTTTTACTAGATGAGAAAGTATATTATAAGAAAGAAAAAAATCTAAAATCTAATATATTGTTATTTTTTAAACGATAAGAATATTGGCAGTATGGGGTGGTTGGAATTTATTTTCGCTAGAATGGTTGATAGAAGATCTTGCATGCACTTGCCAGAGAGACAAATAGGGTGTGGGGGCAACAAGCGAGAAAGCATCCCTGTGGAGTATGCCACACTGCAGTCCCTTCTCCTCCACCTTTCCCTCCTTTCAGAATTTTGGGCACGCAAGCATCCACATACACCTCATGTGCTGCCACATCTGGGACTAGAATCACACAGTCAGCCATGTGGGATCCAACTGTCCCAACTGCACCACCAGCTGTACCCTAAAGTCAGTGACTTCTTTAGATTACCTGGGGTCAGAAGGTGGACCAGTAGTCTAAAAACAGAGCCTAAGGACACTCCAGCATTTAAAAGATGAGGAGGAGAATTCTGTAACAGGACTGTAAGAGTGGCTAGTCACTTTGGAATAGAACAAAGCAATGTGACAAAGCCAGCAGCAATACATGTGATCCCAAATGATTAACAATCTATATTTCTAGAAGATTTAACCAGAAACCATTCTTTCAATATTATTTATTTAACTGGAAATCTGAAAACTTATGTTAAGACAGGCATAGAAGTATTGGATTGTTGGAAAAGTCATGGCATGTTTTTCTATGTTTTTCAAAACAAAAATGCATCATGTCTTTTCTGACAACCCAATATAATATCACCTAACAGATAATCAAGCCATTGAGAAGAAACATGTTATACTGAATATTTATAGTGCTTCTTTTTGACTAGGTCTCAGTCTTGTAAAGGAGGATTAAATATGAAGGGATAAAAATATAGAGGTCCATGCTAATGTTTTAAAGTGAAAAGATGTCTCACCACTTGAAGGTTAATTCAGCACAACACTTCCCTTAACCATGGTTAAACTTCCATGGTTTCAGTTACCCACGGTCAGTCATGGCCTAATATTTTAAGCAAGAGATAAAGATCACATTTATGTAACTTTTATGTCAACATGTTGTTAGAATTGTTTTATGATGATGATGATGATTAATATCTTACAGTGCCTAGTAGATTATATTATAGGTATGCTATATAGGAAAAGCCATAGCATGTATTGGGTTTAGTACACTCTGCAGTTTAAGCCATCCATTGGAGATCCCGGAACATGTCCCCCTGAATGAGAGGGATAACTGTTTTGAATGTGTATAATCTCAGACTCTCAATAAAAACATTTTTATGTTGTTTTCCTCTCTTTGCTTCTTTACACAGGTGGGGAGGTCCCGTATACAACTCTGGCTACCCGAATGATGATGGGGGCTTGGTGGCTATTTGCTTTGATTGTCATCTCCTCTTACACAGCAAACCTGGCTGCTTTTCTCACTATCACCCGCATTGAAAGTTCCATCCAGTAAGTAGACAAAGATTCCAGTAACCACAGGGTGTGACGAAAGAGGAGAAAGGCCAAAGCTGGTCAGGAATAAGTATATAGTATTGGTAGGATATTTTTTATAAAATAAAATGTTGGCTATAATTTGACTGTTGGTTCCCACATTTAATAATTTTAATGACTATGTCTGACCAACATTTTGAGAAGGAAGGAAAAGTCATGATGTAATTTTCTATTTTTCTATTCAATATGCATCATGATATTTCCAATGGTCGAATATGTATTGTCTAGAGAAAAGTTTCCCTGAAAAAGTTTTATCCATCCAAAAGCAAAATAGTTTGAGTTTTCTTGAAGTTGAACATTAATTTCTCAAAATCATGGCAATTCAAAATTAGAATAATTAGATATGGAAGGGAATTCTTTGGAGATTTATCTTGTCCTTAAAAGAAAAAACAAGAGTTCTTCTTTTAAAAAAAATATTAAAGGAAGTCCATTAGAAGCCACAAAATTATTATAGCATGATGGTAAAAAATCAAATTAGAAATTAATTATATATAAAAAAGGGAGATATTTTTCTTCATTTTGTTTATTTTACAAGTCAAAACTGTAAAATGTAAATAGTATTTTAAGTTATTTCGTTATTTTATTGATTCCTAAAAAAATGGTATTTCCATTTTCTCTTACCAAATCACGCTCTTCAGTTGTTTTCTAATTATCTCTTTGGTGCAGAAAGTTCGTAATCTCCCAATTTACTCCCCTTGTACTATGGATTCAAATGGATCTGAATTCAAACCTTCTGCCACTTATGAATTGAATGACCTTGTCGGTATTCCATAATCCTTGTTTAATATTTTATTTATAATTGGCACATAATAATTATACATATTTATTGGGTACAGTGGGATGTTTCAGTCCATGTATACATTGTCTAAGAATCAACTCAGGGTAATTAGCATATTCCTTACTTCAAACTTAAATCATTTCTTTGTGGCGCACAGAAGAGAGAGGGGGCGTGGTCATGCCACAGTCTCTTCTCTAAGCTTATCCATTGGTCCTCATTTGGGGCACTCAGGCACAAGTGTGTCTGAAGTATTTTTCAAGCCATTATGGGCAAACTCAAACCAACTCCCTGTACACAGAGCTTAGCCACTTTGCTGTGAGGCCATTTGCAGCATTATACTGTTAGTAATAAGGAAAATTATTCTAACAGCCCAGCTAAAAAAATTGGTAAAGTCATTAAAATTATGAAAATAATAATTAACATTTGTTGATCACTTACAAGAGTCAGATTTTGTGCAAAATAGTTTATACATATTGACTCTTTTAATACTTACACCTTCCAAAATACACCATCAATAACTGATTTGACAAATGATAAAACTGAAGTTGAGAAGGTAACTTGCCCAAAGCCTGCAACTATGTAAGTTGAGCAAAGTCTAGACCCTAAATCTTTCTGATTCATTAACCTATATTTCACCTGTAGTAGACTAGCTCCTATTCCACACACTTTAATGTCTGCATGGCCCTTTGATTTGAGAAAACACTACAAAGGATGGGTTATAGCCTTACCGATTGCTAAGTACAAGGATGAAAATGATGATACTCTGAACCATCACCTCGTCTTAGGAAACAGAGGTGAAACCCAGGGTGATGCTTGAATCAATTACATAGGTACATACCTCAACGTGAGCTAATTATATCTATAATCGATATCTGCTTTGTGATAAGACTTTTTGGAAGATAGAATCACCAGAAATCATATTAAGAAAAATGGTTTTATTCCATTATGAAATAAAAATTGAATGTCTTTGATATATACAGTGTGATAATTTGATATGTATTTATGTTTTGTAACGGTTACTACCATAAATTAAGCACCACCCATGCTTTACATTAAATCTCCCAAACACTTTCATCTTCTAACTGAAGTTTTGTACCCTCTGATCCACATCTCCCCATTTCCCTTACCGTCAAGGCCCTAGCAATCACCAGTGCTACCTCTGCTTCTTAGATTCCACACAGAAGTCCTACACACATGAATAGTGCAGTATTTGGCATAATGTCATCCAAGTTATTATAAAGGACAAATGAAGAACAGTTTTTAAAACTTAAAGTGGAATATTTCATCTCATTGACATACTTCTTATCCCTTATATTTAAGTTGTTCTGATGGTTAAGGAGTAGGACTCTCACATGGCCAACTGCAGTTCAAGTCCTGCACCTGGAGGCTTGCTTTCTAGCTTTCTCTCTCATGAGCACACATGTTCTGTAGCAAACGAAATAATAATAATAATAATGATTAAAAATTAAATAAATAATTCTTTTTAAAAATCTGTAAATTGTCACCTTTTAAATGTGACAAAACTCTATGTAAACTAAATCCAGACTCTATGTAGTTCACATCTGATTTTGAAGCATTTTTAAATAAATAAATGAAGTAAATTTGAAACTAAATTATTTTACATAGTAAACAACAACAATAATAATCATAATAGCATATAATATTGGGTCATCAAAAATGTTACAAGGTATTTTTCTATGTTTTTGTATGCAAAAATGCATCATGACTTTTCTGATACCCCAGTACTATGGCTAACATTCACTCATAATTTGTTATGAACGGGTGTTAAGCATATTACATATATTTTCTTATCTGTTGCTCATAATAACCCTAATCATATAGGTACTACTAGTATTGCCATTTTGCAGGTAAAGAGAAATAACTTTGAAATTAAATATTCAATATCACACAGTTAATAAGGATTAGAGGGGTGGGAATAGCCCATGCCCATCTGATACCAATTCATGGCCTTACCCACTGAAATCTGTTCCTGGTCCAGTGGCAGTTGCTACAGTTTGTTGGCTTGATCCGGTATCTCTCCGAGGTTACAGACATCATGGTGTGTGTATATCTGAGCTACCTAGTTATTAATAACTTCACCTGCCTCTGTTTTTATCTAATGTTTGGTAGCAAGGGGAGCAGAAGCCTCTCTCAGATTTTTATACCATAATGTTTCCGTAAAGTAAAACCTAAGGAAAAATATTGTAATTTCATATGATGCTTCCCTCAAGTGTAATTCTATAACCCAAAGTAACTGAACATTCATTTTTTAAAAAAAATGATTCCTTTTCAATGCCAGCCCAGCATGATTGAAAATCATCAGTGGGTATAATAAATCTCCACTTCCTTCTAATATTATCACTGGACTAATTTTAGAAGGGAAGAATTGGAACCAAATAAAAATTTTTTTAGAAAGCCAGATTCTCTTCCCAAATTTAAAGATATCTTCTAATTTCACGCCCCAGCTGTGTTGGTAAACATAACTGCCTGCAATATTTCTTGGAAACATTTAAAGTTTCAGTTGTAGGTAATGCCAGAGTTTCTTGAAACATTCTAATTTTTCTTACAGAAAAAAAAAGAAACGTTTTTCATATTGCCCTTCAATGCCATGCTTCTTAATCGTTTATAGTCATAACATTTGCCCATCATGAAATGAACCAGTGCATTTTCATGCACCTTCTTCCAGCCCAGTTTTGCCGTGCCATTGACAAACATACCAAACACACCCTTACTTCCCAAAGTCAAGGTCGCTAGCTTCTACAGACTAGGATGGGAAAAGGGAGAAAGCTTCTTTAGAACAGGGCGTTGACAATTTCTTAAAGTTGAGAGGAGAAAGCAAATTGATTTATCCTTAGGAAGTTGAATGTTACTCCTTTCAAGTTTAGATTTCTGTTGGTTCCTAACCTTGACAATAATACAGATTTTGAAAGTAAATTTTGCCTGGGAAAGCTAACCCATAACTTTAATTTTACATGCCTTCAATGATGGGAGCAGGAAAATACAACTATGATAGAATGAGACAGATTGTGACACTGTTGGCGTGAGCAATATTGATACACGCAGTTCAGTTTCTAAAGGGGAAAATGTCATTTGTGCAAGATTCTCATGATAGTTTGGACTGTTTCAATCTCACTGAAAAGTAGCAATATGTAGCTAATTATTTTCAAACACTTATTAACCAAAATATACTTTTTTTTCTATTGATAACCAGGCTAAAAGTAGCCATGATGAAATGGAACATGTGAAACACTAAAGGTACTTAGAGTAAATACTGGAAATAACATTAGCGACATTAGCTCTGTTTGGCTTTGTTGTAATGTAACTTCTAAAAACTTATTTCACATACAAATGAAAGTAGCTATGGGGAAATTATAGTTATATGGCTATAGTTGTTAATAACCTTACTGTCAGATTGGTCTTTGGTGGTGAAACTTGAGTTTCTTACTCCCTGCCTATGGGTAAGCTTGGGTCTACTCAAAGGGATCCTAACATGCCACCTTATTTTTGTATGTAATGCATTCATTGTCCATAATACTTGAGGTTGGACAAAACAAAGTAGTGAGTTAATGCTACCACTGAATCAAGCTAGACTGTGATAACATGTCTGACTAAGCATGATTCAGAAATAATTTATTACTAGAGGAGACCCTTTTTACCCAGTATCCCAAAAACATGAATTTTGCACCCACATTTGTCTGCATTTGGGAAAGGGAAAAATGACTGAGCCACTGTTTTTCTCAGTGCTACATGGTGAGTCTGAGCCAGCCCAGACTTAGAAATCAGAGTCTGGTATCAGGTCTGAGAGAAGTCTGAGGACAAGAAAAGATGGTGGCCACTAGCAGGGCTCTCTTATGAAAACGAGAGTGCATTGAATCTTGAAAGGTGTGGTAAGACTTGTTAAGGAATTTGGAATTTTTCTTGCGTTAATGAAGAGTGACATCATTTTAGAAAGACAGCATTATCTGTGCAGAGGAAGAAAAGTAGGAGTGCATGCCAAGTTTCCAGAGATGTCTAATGCTCATATATTCATGGCATTTAACTAGTAGGTCTTAGTTTATTATAAACATGAGCCACATATCTTCTTGTTCTTTGACTCAGAACTGCCAGTTTTGCCTTTGTGGTTTGATGCTAAAAGATCAGGACCACAATACAATTTTTGCTTTTGCTATTTGATAATACC